TATATATAAAATAAAAATACTATAAACCTATAAAAATACTCCAACCTATAAACAGCTCTGCTGTTTGGCAAATGTTGTGTAGCATGTAGTTGTATTTGGGAGTGACGCCAACATGATTCTGGGTACCTGCTCAGTAATGAGCCTGGACCTTCTCTAATTGCAGGAGTTGGAATGCTCACCATTGCTTAAGCATCATATCACTATGCTTACTACTCTACTATCCATATCAGTTTCCTTTAGTGCCCCACTATCTCATCAACTGTATTTCTAGACACTTAATTCTCTGTAGAAGCTTGTTTTTCTCAATGAATGATATGAATCCTAAACTTAGAATCGATATGTCTTCTTTCCATAAAATTATTTACAAATATTAAATTGTATGTTACACCTTTTCTCCTCATTAGTGCTCACTTTTTTATTTAATTATTTTGTGGCCAAGAAAATATATTTTTTATAACTTAGAATAGCACAAACATTCCCATATGGAAGTCGATTTCTGCCAGTGTGATGAAGAAAAAGATCCTGAAAGTCATAACATTGAGAAAATTTCTTGAAACAAGAGATGTTAACATTTTCAGCAAGCTGAGGTTCTAAGTCATTATTTTAGAAAACTTCTTTCAAATACTAACTCAGTATTTTTGAGAAACTTTCACACTATTTTGAGATAAATTCTGAAAGGTTCTCATTATTATTATTATTATTACTATTCTAATTATGAGATCTTTTTTTATCACCCTGTAAATCCCAATCCATGCATGACACAATATTTAAATGTAAAGTCTACACAAATGCACCGGATTGTCAAAATGGCATAAAAACTTTCTGTTCACTTTAAACAAAACCCGTCCTTTGTGGGCTTGACATCATTTTTTATGTTAGGTCAACAATTTTTGAGTTTTGAGTTCATTTGACCAAAATTTATAAAGCCGATTTTACCTAATTAGTTTAAGGCCAATAAACAACACTATCATTGTGCAGTTAACATATTGTAGCGTGTTGGGGCTAAATGGGTTGAGCTTCCCAACATGCTGTAAGACAATGTGTTTAAGGCAATAAGCAGAAGAAAACTGTGATTAAATGTGTTCTAAATCACTCATTACCCATTATGCAGTGACTAATGTTATGTATTTAACAATGGTTCAAAAAATGGTTTACAGTTAGTGTTGTGTAAAAGACATTTTGCACCATGAGTTAAGTCATATACACAGTTAGTGACCTCCCACCTGTGTGGACATTAAAGTGTCTAACATAAAGCTGTGCTGAGGTGAAATTAAGAGCTCATCTTAGTTCAGAATTTATCTCCTTGCCTTATTCTAGCAATTGAGAAAGTTTGCCACGATATGTTTTTATAATAAAATGAAATTTAAAAAAACATTGAAAATGTGTATGAAATGTTTTTATGTTAATGTGACATAAAACACACATAAAACAAACAAGAACAAAAAAAAAGATGTTAAACTGACAAAGTACCTGTCAGACAAGGGTCATGTGACACATTTATTTTGTGCCTGATGAACTCAAACTGTTATGTTTCTGTATTGTATTAAAAGTGCAATATGTTTGCGAAAAAAAAAAAAAAAAAAAGAAAGAAAAAAAGTTAAGTGAGTGAATTGGGGTTTACAGTGCATATTGGCAGAAATAGGCTTACATATCTTTTTAATTTTGAACAACTTGCTTGCTTGTTAATTGGAATTAATTGTTAACTAGGACTGCAGTCATCATAAATAAATCTGGATAAGACCATGAGCTAAATCCTTAAAATGTAAAAACAATGACCACACAAAACAACTACTGCTCCCAGAGCTACACACACTGTGTCTGTCCAAACCATTGTAGTAGTCTCAGTAATTACTTTCACTGCATGATTTGGTATGGACATATCATGAGGTAATTCTATGTCCTGAAATTTCTAATCCTGAGTTTGAAGAGGTAATTTGTACATAATGGGGAAAACAAAAACAAGTTGAATTTGTTTCCCTGTCAAATGCTTCAAATGTCATATTGGCCAAATTTCAATTTTCAAATTTAAATGCATAATTTAAACAGATTTGCATCAAACTTAACTTGTTGTTAATTTGCATGTTGACCAATAACAAACCATTTTGACAGTGCTGATCAATGAATGAATCTACGAAGAGCCGGAGTTTCCAAAACAGAGGAAGCTACAATAGCTTATCAGCTGTGTGGGACCACCTGCTTTTATATAGCTCTACTATGCTAAAATATTAACAACTAAGTAAGTATTGTTTGCAGTTATGTATGAGATACTGTAAATTTTAATAAAGTGTGTTAACATAATGTTTGGTTAGTGACCAAACTACAGGCATTCCTAAATGACAGTTAGAAAGGCAGCTAGCTTCAACAGCTACTGGCTGTGTGCACAATCAATCCCTCAATCACACTAGTCCCAGTATATAATGTACACTCAATAGTTTAACCTATAGTTGTCACGTGATGCATTGCTTTGTGGGATAGTTAGCAGAAAGTAGTGCACAAAATTTTTGCTTGTTTACTACCAGTGGCCTCCCTCAAATCATATTCTTGTGATTTCATGTGATAAATAAATTGATTGATTGACATGCTGCGGATGCTACTACTTTCATTCCTTTGTTGGAATATTTGAGGTACTATATAGTGAATGAAATTCACACTTGGAATTTAGACACAAATAAAATGGCAGAGGGTAAATATGGTGCACTAAGTCATATTTAGCACATTTGATCACACAGCAGTTAGTCAAAAACTAAGGAAAACAATACCCAAAGTTTGTAATGATAATGTCAATGCAACATGAAATTTAAACATTGTTAGACATTTAAAATATCCTCAACCTGATGTTCAACCATTACAACCAAAATTTAATGTCTGTCTGATGTCAGAATCCAACATCTATCTGACGTTATCTGGTGCCAGCTACCTAGTCTACAAGTTGCTGGGTAACCCACCTGCTTTGCAGTTCTACTATGTCACTAATTTAGTAGCAGCACCTATTTTGCGAGGACATGTGGATGAATCTGAAGTGAGATGCTGAGATAACCTACCTTTGTGGCTGAATCTACTGCAGCACCTCTGTCCAACAGCTCCTGGACCAGGTCCACATGGCCCTCCTTGGCTGCCAGGTGCAGTGCATTAAGACCATTCTGGAAAAAGATAAGAGAGGAAAGGTCAGGCCAAAGTCCAACAACCCAGCATCAACAAAGAATTAAGACAGGTCAAAATGGAAAGAGAAGGGATTACTTCCTCTGCCAGGTCCAGAACTAACTGATCCGGCCTTTCTTCCTCAGTTTCCATCTTTTGAACATCTGACTGGAATATCAAAGCTAGCAATCAAAGCTGGGTCAGATGTTGTGCCATGTTATGCTAGTGTGGATCAAAGCCAGTCCTGGGTATAAAGATATAAATAGTTGTGTCTGAGTGTGTCTGTGTGTGTGTTCAGGACAAGCTTGCATTTTTTTATTCTATGTTGTAGTGTTGATCCTTTCCACTCAATAACATATCTTTTGTATTGATTGGTGATGGCTGAGACAATAAATAAATATGGGAAATGGGGAAATCATTCTAAAATACCAAATTAACCAGCAACACATTTCAAAGGGCTTATCAAAGCTTGTTATTTCAAGGATTTGTTATATTTCAAATGATAGATAATGCTGACAAATTAATTTTCCTTAACTTGTAATAAATGATAGTTCAGAGTAGTACATCTCTCCTGACCGCTATTAATATCTGTATTAGGCTCTTTAATGTCATATGCTGCTTGGCTGGCAGAGAGGAGGTGGGACGGGTGAGAGAATAAGCTTAAAATGTAAACATTAACAACATTTTAGAGACTAGAACACATACAGCTGACAGTACCATCATATTTTTTATAGGAGTCTAGTTTTTGTGCACCTGATATTGTAAGCTAAAATTTTTAATCTCCTTTTAGCTCTGTTTTGGTCTCAACCAACTCCAAAGATTATCCAACTCCCTAATTTTGTTGATAACTTTGTATGTCTGGCATAAGGTTCTGAGCAGGCAAAGTTATTGGAGCTACTTTGCTTGAAACAGCTTGCTGCATCAGCTAAAAACAAGGTTATTAAGAATGTTGTTTGTAAGCTGTAAAGACCAAAACCGTTTCCAACACTGCATAGGGTAGCAACCTGCTACAGTTGCTCTTCCTCGTCTTTTCTTACCGTTTATTACCTTTTTCCCTTATTTATGTACTTTTTAATAGTTGTCCCATAGCACAGTGTGGTAACGTTTGTTTTGGCAGTAGGCTATGTGGCTTTATACATTCTTTTTCATTTTTATCACATTTTTTGAGAATTTCCTCTGGAGTAAATGTTCTATTGAACTGAATTAAATTGAATTGAATTGAATTGAGTTGAATCAAAATGAACTGAATTGAACTGAATTGAGTTGAACAATGAGCTAAACGAGGCTAAAGGGCTCTTAAATGCTGGGAGGAACAAGGGACTATGCTGGCAGATGGCAGTAATTTTCTGTTTTTACTTTGAGCAACACCTGTTTTATTTCACCCAACCTGACTCTCATTGTTCATATGAATATTACTGACCAAGAAAAAATTGCATAAATATCAAGGCTTGTGTGTTCCTCAAATAAACTGATGAGGTGATCCTCTTTTTCCTCCATCCAAAACTGCCATTTTGACCGTGGCTGGCCAGCTAGCTTGCTAATTCCACCATGCTTTTATGCTAACGTTAGCATTTACAGAAAATGAGCTGAACAAAGTTATCCTTCATCTGATGATAGCAATGCTTTTTTCTATACTGTGACAAGAGCATTAGATGAAGCACTAAGATATTAAATTTTACTAATGTAGTGGTTGGCTAGTTAGCTAGCTAGCTTGCTAATCCCATCAATAAACACGAGACAGCCCTGTAGTCTTGTTATCATGCTACACTGGTTAAAGAGAAATGAGGAATACAGTAATACAGGACCATCAGGATGTTGGTGCCTATTTATTTTGAAAGTGCAACGGCCAAAGGGAAGACACCAACACTAATGTCACTTACTCTGACCAATGGTGTAACTTGATCAATCAGTCAAGCACTCACTCACTCACTCACTCACATGCTGCAGTCCAGCCAACATTGAGCTAAATGTGGCTAAATAAAGCACCACTAGCAACATCTGTTTTATTACCCACAACTGATCCATTGTTAGGGGACAGCAGGGCACAACCTAACACATTTAAGTTTTTAATGTTATTAAAATGGTTTCAGATTAATCATCTTTTTTGTTTTATTCTACAACATGCACATCTCTCCTACAAATGAACAGTTGTTGTTTTTTTCTTTCTGGAACTTACCTTTCTTCTTCAATTGCACCAAGAAGTGGCGGAAGTGAAATGTTACAACATACCCAATGGGTGGGGTTAATTGTAACTGGCAGGGGGTTAGTTGTAACATTTGCTGGGAAAGTCTAACACAAATAATTCAATATAATTCTATCCAGATACTATAGGTTGATACTGTTTATGGATCTATCTATGATATATATCAAAACATCTGTACATCCCTCATCTAACCAATGCTTCATGAATAGAAAGATCAACACAAAGACAGCATATAGCACATGGTTTCTCAAAGTCAAGGAAGGATCCTTAAACAGCTGAATTTCATGGTGGCTACGTCACTGAATGCCTCCGGAGAACTGTTCTAATGCCAAGGATCCTTTGAATTCAACCAAAGATTGAGTCCTTCCTTCAAAGCGTTTTCAAGGATGCATGTGTGTATCCTCAGTGGGCATGAAGTACCCACACTTCTTTGTGCATGATTTGCAAGAGTTAAGGCCTTTTCAATGATGCATGGGTACTTGCTGCCTCTTCCAAAGTGTGTTCACTGAATGCTAGAAAGGAGTCTTGCCTAGCCTCTATAGGACCCAATTTGGAAAGAGCTGTCCTACAGAGGAAGCATTCTTGACTTTGAGAAGCATCATCAGTATGCGTGGATATTCTGTAATTTCCTCTCTTTCATCCTTCAAGATTTATGGATAAATGGATGTAGATCTACACTATGTCTCCATCTGCATCAGGGGAAGAATACATATCCATACAGGTATCCATCCATCTGTTAGTCTATCATCCATATTTAATGGTTGGACCAATAGATATACATAGATTGGGTAACCCAGATCAACATGTCAAAATATTGAATGTATCAAATGTATGAATATAGACAAGACTCTGAAATTGTGTGTCAAGATACCTGATATATTAAGAATACAAAGTATATCTCATTTAATTAAGGACATTAGTTTAAACTGAACATAAGTTTGAAGTGCAAGAAAAGAGAAAATGAACTTGTAACATCACGTTACAACTAACCCCATTGTGTGGAAATTTTATCTATAGAGTTTCATAGCTCAAAACAATGTTATGTATTAGGCAAGAAGATAGTTATTAAGGTGATATATGGTTGGATTCGGTGACTTTTACATACACAGCTCAGTGATTGAAAAACAAATATGACAAAGAAATGTACTTATGTCAGCTGAAAACACTCTTTGTTGCTGAACACTGCTGAAACATGTCCAATCTCTGTGAAATTTCAGGGATCACTGTTTGGCAGTATTGGGGTCAACTGGCCAGAGCACGAAAGAATCGACCCTATGTAATCACTTAAAAAGTCTGTGTTACAATTTACTCTGCTTTAGGAGGTTCTCTACACTCCCCTGATATAAATAATATTCATTAGGGAACCTTCAATAGTAGAATGAAAAAGAAAATGGCATTTTGAAGCAGTTAAGCAGCAGAACAATGCATCACTCCATTAATAGCCTTCGGTTTTCAGTCACATCTTAAATGCAGGTAAATGTAGGGTTGTTCCCTAGTCTGCCACTCTCCTCCTCTAAGTGACCCAGCACTAATTCAATAACCCTTTCAGCAGCATGAACTTATTCTGCAGTATAAAAAGAGCCACTGGGTCGATAAGTAATTTTCTCTATGACTGCCAAACTAACCATCATCACACAGCCTCCTATGGCTGATGGTCCCACTGGACTCCTTAGGTCCCCACACAGGCTCCCTGTGTGATACCAAGAAAGTGAATGCTCATCATAGAATCATCTGACTACAGTATGCTTCAGTTTTCCCTGCCAGGAGGTATTCCACAGCTGGCAGGAGGTATCTGTTCACTAACAAGGCAGAAGATGTATTCCAGCTAAGGCCTGCTGTTTTTGTATCAGCTAACATGTCCATGCACCAGCCCGCCTCCTGCTGGCCTCATATCACCCTGCACACAGCGTGTTTATACAAATGCTGTATCCATCCATCCATTTTCGTAACCGCTCACCCTCTTGAGGGTCGCGGGGGGGCTGGAGAATATCCCAGCTGACATAGATGTGTTTACATTGACATGGATATTCACAATTTATGAGGCTAATTGTGGTTTTGATCACATTAGGATAATGATGTTTGCAAGGAGCACAGAGAAATGTGGTTATTCATATCCATACAAACACTAGCATCCTGGTTCCTAGTTAACACAGTCTCTTTGTGCAGGTGCTGGGATATTTGCAAAAACGGGCAACAGGAAATATTAAACACTACGCTGGACAACGTTTCTGCTAATTTCTTCTTTGCTCCTGTCGCCAACACTTGTCTGCTTTTAGCAATTCCATTGTCTCTCTCTCTCTCTCTCTCCCTCCCCCTCTCACTGCTACTCCTGAAAGGAGCTAGGACAGGGGAGAAGTACATGAAGATATGCAGCCTCTTCATTACCAAAATACAAAACTCTGTTTCTTCATTGCTCCAGAAGTGAGATATTTTTGTTACTACCATTGTTTATATTGATGTTACTTGTCACTTGGCTGAAGCAATGCCTGTGCAGGTATTCGGCAGCACACAGAAACCAGTACGTATGTCTATGTATTCAACAGTATCCTGCAGTACTGCAGGTGACATGTTCAGGTTTCTTATAAGCTGGCTAAGGGCTTATCCAAGTGTTTGAAAAAGGGATATGGTGTTGCAACATTCTCACGCCCAACTTGTCAAATTCTGCCGCTTTGTCAGAGATATTGGCACCAGCCACCTACGCACCATTTGTGGAGGTATAATATGCACTGGGCACATCAGTTTAAGAAGCAGTGGCCAACAACCCAACTCATCAAATACCGGCACTTAGTCAGTGGACGT